TGCAATATTTTGCAATATTGTGCAATATTGTGCAATAATGTGAAATATTGTACAATTATTATAATTATGCTATTTTGATAAATATTGGGCCAAATTTGATGATTTAACTACCATTATAACTGGGAAAAAGTGCCGAACAACATTTATTATTACACAGTTGTGAATTTTTTAATAAATTTTAAATTTATTCACATTTTTTTAAATTCTTTCGCAATATTGCATGTTAATTATAATTATTATACAATATTACAGTTTTAAAAATTTGTTGATGTTATATGGATATTAGTAGTTAGTATTAAACTTTTTTTATATCATATAACTAAAAATTTAGATACTTTACTAATTTATTATTTGTATTATATTTATAGATAATACTTATTTATTAACTACATCTAAATCAAGCTTTTTAAATAAAAATTAATCTAAAAAATCCAAACAATTAATCTTACTAAATACTAAACATGTTATATAAAATCTAACTAAAGAAAAAATACCAATATTTTATAATTATTTAATTAGAATAATAGTATCAAATAGTTGGGCTTTTAAATAGATAAATAATCTATTAATGTTTAAATTATTTAATTAGATAAATCTCAATTTAAAATTATTTAATTAAAAACAATTGGCTGGCTCTATACTAATTAAAGCTATTGATAATATTAATAAAATATATAAAAATAAACTAAATCAAGCATATAAAAAAGCTAATATAATACTAGCCTTTGATAGATAGATTAATATAGTAAAACAATATTTATTAAAATTAATGCTTATATTATTATCTGAAGAAGCTTTAGCATAGAAAACAGTAGATATAAATGATTAAAGAAAATGTGCAATTGATATTATACTATATATTGAAAATATGCTATGTGATCTGAAAGAAAAATCTATTAAAGTTATAGCTATTGTAAGTAATAGTGCTGTAGCATATATCTTAGCTTAGTAAGTAATAATATAATAAATTTAATTATATATATCTAAAAATTTAATATATAAAATTTTAATTATTATAGTTATCTGCTTCAAATTAAATATTCTGAATATATTTTTATACTTTGCTTTGCTTACTAATATAATTTAGCAGTTTGTAAAATTTTTAAAGTATCTGAAACTTTAGCAAAAGTATCAGCTGATGTGGTAAAGCTGTTTTTATATTTTAATTAACCAAATAACATATATTTTATTGAAAAATTAAGAGATATTCAAAAAGAAAAATATAATAAATATTATACAATTATTAAGCCTAGAAATACAAGATAGAATTTATATTATAATTGTTATAAAAGTTTAATTTAAACAAAACAAGCATTAAAAGTAAGTTTGTTATTGTATTTACTTTTACTAATATATATATATAAATTAAAGTTTAAATTTTAATTTATAGACTTAGTTATATAATTTGAAAATGAAGATATGCTATTAGAAAGTGATGATAAATTATATTTACCAAACAATATTTATCAAATAATTATAAATAAGTCATTTTGGTTACATATTTCATAACTTACAATATTAATACAACTATATTTAATAGAATGCAAACTGATAATGCATAATTGTTTAATATTATTTTGTTATTTAGATATTTTATTAAGATCTAGGAACAATATTCTAATAGAATTTTAGCTGAAAGTATTATTACAAAACTTGAAAATCAATAAAAAACATGAGAACAACCTTTGTTATTACTTTCTCTAGTTTTTCATCCCAAATATTGACTTAACAAATTTAATTCTGATTTAGAGTTAGTTAATTTTATAATATTAGGAAGCTGGTTTAATTATTATTATTAAGTATGGATATCCAATAAGCCAACAAAACTACTTGCTGAATTTAAATCATATAGAATTAAAAAACTACCTTTTGATATTAATACATATAAGCAATTTGATAATAATATTTTAGCATATTAGTATTATTGCTCTACAATGTATAAAGAGTTAGAGCTTGTAGCTATTAAAATTTTTAGCATTTCTATAAATTTAGTATTAGTTAAATATCTATTTTCATCAATAAGATTTTTACAAACTTTTTGAAAAATTAAATTAAGTATAATAATATTATTAATTTTTATACTATATTATTTATTAATAATTATTTTATAATTTGATTTAGTATGAAAAGGTTGCCGCTATAGCTCAACTTTATGCCAATATTACTTAAACTGCAAATAAAAAAAAATAAAAAAATTATAAAAAAATTCAAACAAATATTATATTACCAATTATTAAATCAAATAGTCAAGTATTTATTAATAAATTACAATTTAATAATCAAAAAGTATTTCAAATTAATATTCAAAAAAAATCTCAAATTGAAACTCAAGAAGATATAACTGATTATATAACTATGGAAGGTAACTGGAATAAAAAATTAGCAGAATAGTATAAAATGTTAAAACAAGAAGCAATTGAGAAAATAGATGAGAATAATTTATCAGATAATGTTTCTTTTAATAGTTTACTAAGTTCTTATATACATCCTGCTATAAATATAAATACAAATTAGAATTTGTATAATCTTTTTATTTGGGAATTAGAAAAATCTGATCTTATTTCTTTGTTTCAAAATTAAAAATTATTTAGTATTAGTATTAGTATTAGTTTTTGAAATTTTTATTATTAAATATATTTTTATTTTTGTATTCAATACTAGATTTTTCTTATATTTGTATATTTTTTCTATAAGTATAATAAATTCAAAGTATTTTATAGAAAAGTGATATATACAAGTTAAAATAATGAATATTGAGTATATTAAAAAAAGTTTTTAATATATACTTGTTGGTCTACTATAGATTTGCTAAACATATATCTGCTAAATATTAGCAATATATTTGCAATATAGTAGTAAGATATTAAAAGCTAGATTGATATTAGCAATATAATAGCAAAATATTGAAATACTCTAATATCTTACTTTGAGCTCAAAGTACTAAAAGTAAGATATCATTATTATATTGACGATATCAATCTACTTTTTAATATTTTACAAATATGCTAACAATATGCTACTAACACTTAGCAAGTATTTGGTAAATCTATAGCAGACTAACAAATATATATTAGAAAACTTGTTTTCTAATATGTACTTAATATTTATTAATTTAACTTGTAATATAGTATAATATAAATTATAATTATTATAGATTCAAATTTAATAACAGTAATTAATAAAATAGTTTAATTGATAGTAAAGATTAAAATAGATAATATTTAAATAAATATATATATTGTAATATCGTAATTATCTGAATAAAGCTACGTGTCAGGGACCTAAGTGGTCACCTTAATATTAAAAAAAAATAATAATAAATATATATATTAAATTAATAGGTTTAATTTTTATATATTTATATATATATTTGTCCAAAACCAATTAAATTTGGTTTTGGCTTTGGACAAGGTTTTGGACAGGTTTTGAATATGGTGTCCAAAAACCAAAACTGTCCAATTGACAACACTGGATTAGTGGATGGATCAGGATATTTTTCATTAATTCCTGCGATCTTGGCATAGTGATCAGAGGATTAATAAAATTGATTAATGTTTGTCTAAAGTTACTCAAATTTAATTTTTATATATTAATATATATGTTCTAATTTATTAACAAAATAAAGTATGCAGTATAATTATATACTTTTGAAGCTGATAAAGAAATTCAGAGTGTTTTATTTTAATATGCTACTTGATTATATGTTTATTAATGCTAATAATATTATACATTAAAACATTAAAGTTCAAATTTATAAAATTTTGATTACTGTAACTCCTTCATAAAAATCGTAACTAACGGGGGTTGGACTTGAGAGGGCAGTATTGAGAGGAAGTTCTTCAGCATTTAACGTTGAACTTGGGAGGGTAATATTGAGAGGAAATTCTTCGGCGTTTAACGTTAAAAGGATTCTTAGAAGTTTTTTATTTTAAAATGGTGTCCTGGCTCTCTCCAAAAATGGTAGAGTGCGGCACATTATAATTAATGTGAATGAAATCTGATTAAAAATGAAATATTGTAAAAATAGACAAGCCACCGAAAAATAATAAGTTTTAAGGTAGAGTTTATAATAACAGTATAAATGAGTTTTAGAGGGTTATGCAAATTCAATTTCAGACACCCCTATCAAGAATAATACAAATTTGATCTGCATTTTGCAAAATTTATCATTAGAAAATTTATTGACTAATTTCACATAGTTTTTATTAATTATAATGTGCCGCACTCTAAAAAAATGAGAGTGATAATCTACACCATTTTCTACTTACAAGAACGCAGAGAAAAAGTAAACATTTGGAAATATGTCGAAGGTTATAAAAAATGATTTTTAAAATTTCATTTTGAAAGGGCATTCATTTTAAAAATTGAAATTTTGTAAAAAGTTCTACGAGTTGTGTGCATAAATAAATTACTATATTTGATCGTTCCAAAATTCTGCTGATTATTGCAAGAATCTTTATCGTATCCATTTCAATTTATGATTCTAATATTGCAGACCATACTTTTTGAGCTAAACCTTGTCGTTCGTAATTTTTCATATAATTTCTAGAAAATCGATAGTTCACATTGCGGGTTTATTTTGATATAACCCGTTTCATAAATAAATCATAAATCTAGAGGGCATAGAATTTCCTCCTTACCGGTATTCTTTTTTAAAATTTAAAATATCTTGATGCCATGTTTCCAAATAAATTGCGAATGCACCGGGCGTTTAGCAAATTTAACAGAAAATTCCGGAGTATGAGTACATTCAGGTCTCGTTCTATTAATGATTTTATTTACCCTCTTGATCAACGTATCAGCAGTGTTATTAAACATTTTTATTGTCAGAAGGAAACAACTTAAAAGTTGGGGTCTGCATTAAGAGTCAGCGACGAACGTATAAAATATTTTTTAAGCATTAAAGACATAGATGAGATGAAATTAAATAGACATTGTTGTTTAAATTATTACTTACATGTAGTCAATGAAGTTATAACTTCCAGATACACTACGTCATCTCAAATTTCCATACATCGTACACTCGCTCGATATCCAACCAACAAATGAAGTAATCTCCCTTCTTCGATATTCCAAACACGAAGAGTCGCATCACAAGAACCACTAACGTCAATGGTTTTATCATTCATTTTGAGTGAGCGTATCGTTGATGTGTGACCGTGTAAAACATATCGAACTTTTCTAAAATTATATAAGTATTAAAAAACAAGACAAATAAAATTTTTCTTCAATAAAAAACACGTTTACCTATCGCAGTCCCCAGAGATTAAAACTTCGTCGATATATTGCAACGCGCACGCGCTGCCTTGTGTCCCATCAATGTTTTTGTGTAATTACCATTAGATACCTGATGCATCGAATATATGGATATTCTTGCTATTCATCCCCACAACTATATAGTTTTGACACATTTCAGCATTTATAAAAAAGTAATTACTCCTGAATCAGAGCTGATATGAGTAACAAGTGTCTTTCTACCCTCGGAAATGATCCTTGCTTGAAGATTTACTGCACTTGGATGCAGGTGATTCAAATGTAGGAGAGGGTGGTAACACCGGAACGAACGAACCACGTATGACGTATACAAAGGTTTTACTAAGTAAATTCATTGTTGAGTAACGAATGTCAAAATTTTGAAACGCTTGATGCTCTAGAAAACGTTTTTGGATCATTAAAGTTAATAAACGATAATATATGAAGACTAAATTAAGATTTGCTGGTTCATAGAATTATTGTAATTAAAGAATATTTCATGCAATTTTCGAGCTTGTTTCTTTCTCCATATCCTTCATCAAGAAGCCAATTCTTAATTCCTTCAGATAAATCTTGTTAAGGACGTGATATAAGTTATATATTCAAATAGGTTTGGGTGACTTGGAGAGTGAATTTTAAAGGAATTAAGAGCTTGTTTTTCAGCGTTTAACGTTAAAAGTAATATTCTTTTAAATCTCATATCGGTAAAATGGCGCCTTGGTTGACTCCACAAAGTTGGTATACCAATTTTACGATTTACAAGTGAACTTTTGTGGTTATATATATACGTATCACGATCATATTTCATTAAATACGTAATAAAATTTGGTGGTAATTGCTTCTTTAATATGTCCATTATTTTTTTAGAACTGATATCAGAATTTGACTTTAAAATTTTAGTATAGTTAGTTCTAGCATCATTACGCTACGTAAAAATTTTAATAATAAAAAATTTATTTTACGATTGTTTAATCAAATAAAATTGTATTGATAGAATGGATAGGCTGAAGACAGAAGAACATTGGATTGGGGATTCATTTTCATTCTCTGTAAGATTATATTAAAATAATATACAGATTTCAATTAAGCACTAATACCTAATATCTGTTTTTCTTTAAAAAGAATTTCAATAATATTCCATCAGAAATTTTTATTGAAATATGCAAGAATATCGCGCCACTGGATCTAATTAAACTAAGTTTGGTGTGCCAATCTTTTTGGCACTGCCTTTCTTCACGCACATC